GTGCAGGCCAAGGTCTTTAGGCACTGCACCCAGTGTGCCAATCACCACTGGGACCACCTTGACTATGGTCAACGATCTATACTTGGTTTTTTAACACGATCATGAGGTCAGGAGTTATTATTATTATTATTATTATTATTATTATTATTATTATTCTAACTTGACAACATCAACTACTCACTTTCCCTGTCAAGAACTCTAAACACTACCAGATTCACACATTATTCATGAAGTCATGGGATTACTTATGACTATCCTCGCCTCCGTCTCCAGCTAGGGTCCATCTTCTTCCTCCAGAACTAGCAGATGAATAATGGACTATCACAAAACCAAAGCCAATTAACTGTGTGTCATCTATTAGCTATAATTTGAAGGGCATCCTTTCTAAGAATGCCAACTTGGAGTTCCCAATAACCAAGGATAGAAACTATGACAAACAAGAGGAGGAGTGAGGTGGAGATCTGAGTCAGAAGGAGAGCAATATCTCCATTAGTAGAAAGATAAGTCTCCAGGATCATGAAAAATGGCATTGTTAGACCTTAACTGAAAAGTGCTGCTGAATAAATCTGACTTTGGGAATGTTACACTGTGTTGTTGAAGCCTTTCGTGGCCGGAATCATTAGGTTGCTGTGACTTTTCCGGGCTGTATGGTCATATTCCAGAAGTATTATCTCCTGACGTTTCACCCACATCTATGGCAGGCATCCTCGGATGTTGTGAGGTTTCACAACATCTGAGGATGTCTGCCAAAGATGTGGGCGAAACATCAGAAGAGCATGATTCTGGAACATGGCCATACAGCCTGGAAAACTCACAGCAATCCAGTAACACCCACTGGTGAAGAATGGGGATTCTACTTGAACCTGAAAGTGATATTCAATCAACCCTGCTTTCTAGAACTTTCACCTAAAGTACTGTACTTTATACAGAAAAGGCATAGCTTTATCATGCTCTTCTTGTCTAAAAAAGTATGTTTTCAAAGCTCCAGGCATTGATATATCCCGAATTATCCTTATGTATATCTTAGGAACCCCCCGAGGCATAGGAGACCCCGGTGGCACAGCAGGTTAAACTGCTGAGCTGCTGAACTTGCTGACTGAAAGGTCGGCGGTTTGAATCTGGGGAGCAGAGTGAGCTCCTGCTGTTAGCCCCACCTTCTGCCAAGCGAGCAGTTCAAAAACATGCAAATGTGAGTAGATCAATAGGTACCGCTCTAGCGGGAATGTAATGGCGCTCCATACAGTCATGCCGACCACATGACCTTGGAGGTGACGATGGACAACGGCAATTCTTTGGCTTAGAAATCGTGATGAACACCACTTCCCAGAGTTGGACACGACTAGACTTAATGTCAAGGGGAAACCTTTACCTTTATATCTCCAACTGTCCTTGCAGCTCTTACAAGTACCCTTCCTCCATGAATCAGGAGAATCACATACATTCCTTGAACATTCCTCCTGATTTTTTTAGATTGGAGAAATCTGAGTCATGTTCAACCGTTCTGGAACTCATTGGCAGAGAACAAGATGAAAGCAGCCTCCTTCCCTCATTTCCAAAGATGCCTTAACATTTGCTATGATTCTCTTTCCAGAACCAGGAGACGAGCATATGTTCGATAGGATAGGTAAAGGTTTTCCCCTGACATTAAGTCCAGTTGTGTCTGACTCTGGGGGTTGGTGCTCATCTCCATTTCTAAGCCAAAGAGCCGGCGTTGTCCATAGACACCTCCAAGGTCATGTGGCTGGCATGACTGCATGCAGCGCCGTTACCTTCCCACCGGAGCGGTACCTATTGATCTACTCTAAACAGTTCTGGCCCAACTTACCTGTCCAAACGCATCTCTCCTTATGGACCTTCCAGGACTTTAAGATCATCTGGGGAGGCCCTGCTCTCGATACCGCCTTCGTCACAAGTATGGCTGCCGGGGATGAGAGACAGGGCCTTCTCAGTGGTGGCCCCTCGGATATGGAATGCCTTCCCTAGGGATATCAGATTGATCCCCTCCCTTTTAACATTCCAGAAAAGATTCAAGACTTGGCTTTTTGAGCAGGCGTTTGCAAACACAGTGTAACAGACATAGGAAAATGGAATAGTTGGACGATGGGATTGGACAATTTTTTAACAAGGGGACCCTAATGATATATGTTTTTATTGACTACTAGCCGTCCCCTGCCATTCTTTGCTGTGGCCATCTTTGTATATATGTTTTGTGTGTGTATATATTTATGTATATGTGTATATATGTGCATTTGTGTGTATATATGTGGTTTTGCACATGCATTGTAATGTATTTTTTTGCTTTTTAAGTCTCTTCCGCTGTGTTTTTCAGTGTTTTTATGAGTGAAGGTCACTCATTGGCCTGATATGTGTCTTGTGTCCAAATTTGGTGTCAATTCGTCCAGTGGTTTTTGAGTTATGTCAATCCCACAAACGAACATTACATTTTTATTTATATAGACTAGCCATCCCCTGCCATGCACTGCTGTGGCCCAGTCTGTGTATATGTGCTTTATGTGTGTATATATTTGTGTATGTTTATATATGTGTGTTTGTGTATATATGTGGTTTTTGCACATGTGTTGTAATTTTTGGGGTTTTTTTTTGGCTTTTTAAGTCTGTTCTGCTGTGTTTTTCAATGTTTGTATGAGTGATGGGCACTCGTTGGCCTGATATGTGTATCGTGTCCAAATCTGGTGTCAATTCGTCGAGTGGTTTTCGAGTTATGTTAATCCTACAAACGAACATTACATTTTTATTTATATAGATGCTATGGTTTTACATTATCTTAATGTTTTTCATTGTATTCTAATTGTATTTTATGGTCTTGGTAACGACTGTAAACCTCCTCGAGTCGGTTGAGAGGGACGGTATATAAACGTAGTAAATAAATAAATACTCACATATGCATGTTTTCGAACTGCTAGGTTGGCAGAAGTTGAGGTTTACAGCGGGAGCTCACCCCGCTCCTCATATTCGAATTGCCAACCTTTCAGTCAACAAGTTCAACAGTTCAGTGCTTTAACCCATTACGCCACTGTGTTCGATAGCATCCAATAATACCCACCCAATCACCCATGCCCTCCCTTAACTTTATAGAGGCACACTGTCAAAGTCCCTCTGTGGGTCTGGCTTTGCCATCTGTTTGCATGTGCGGATGGATGGATTGGAAAGATAGATGAACAGGCACTGAGTTGAGATCATCCGCTTGCACGAAACAGTGCAGGGTGGGAACCCAAGCAGTTTTATGGCCTTCTCCTGCTTTATTTTGCTGTTTACTAATTGGGCCTTCCTGGTGTCTGAATCAAATCAGGAAGCGGAAGCCCCGAGCGAGCTAGTTAGGTTAATGTCTTATCGAAGGCTTCCATGGCTGGAATAACTGGGTTGTTATATGTTTTTCGAGCTATATGACCATATCCTAGAAGCATTCTCTCCTGATGTTTCACATGCATCTATGGCAAGCATCCTCCTGTAGGTTTTTCGGGCTATATGGCCATGTTCTAGAAGCATTCTCTCCTGATGTTTGGCATGCATCTTTGGCAAGCATCCTCCTGTAGGTTTTTCAGGCTATATGGCTATGTTCTAGAAGCATTCTCTCCTGACGTTTCACCTGCATCTATGGCAAGCATCCTCCTGTAGGTTTTTGGGCTATATGCAATGTTCTAGAAGCATTCTCTCCTGACGTTTCACCTGCATCTATGGCAAGCAACCTCCTGTAGGTTTTTCGGGCTATATTGCCATATTCTAGAAGCATTCTCTCCTGATGTTTCGCCTGCATCTACGACAAGCATCCTCAGAGGTTGTGAGGTTTTAGGATGCCTGTTATAGTTGCAGGCAAAATGTCAGGAGAGAATGCTTCTGGAATATGGCCATACAGCCTGAAAAACATACAGCAACCCAGTGATTCCAGCCATGAAAGCCTTCGACAAGACATTTGGTTAGTTGCGAAATACAAGGCAGACTGTATGACACACTAAGGCCCCTTCTATACTGCCATATAATCCAGATTATCAAGGTAGATAACACCCTACAACCTCTGAGGATGCTTGCCATAGTTGTAGGCGAAACGTCAGGAGAGAATGCTTCTTTTTTAATTTAATTTAATTTATTTTAAATATATATATAATTATTATTTTATCATAGTTCATGCTTCTAGAACCAGATTATCAAAGCAGATAACACCTCACAACCTCTGAGGATGCTTGCCATAGTTGCAGGCGAAAGGTCAGGAGAGAATGCTTCTTTTAAAATTATATATATATATATATATATATATATATATATATAAATAATTTTATCATAGTTCATGCTTCTAGAACCAGATTATCAAAGTAGATAACACCTCACAACCTCTGAGGATGCTTGCCATAGTTGCAGGCGAAACGTTAGGAGAGAATGCTACTTTTTCAATTTAATTAAAAAAATTTTTTTATTATTTTATCATAGTTCATGCTTCTAGAACATGTCCATATCGCCCAAAAAACCTACAACAACCTGGTTTGGTTAGTTAGGCACCAGAGAGCCCTTCTCCTTGATGCCAAGGGAGAAGAAGGGCTCTCTCTGTGGAAGTTGCAATCCCCAGGCATCAAAGGGACTGCTAGACTCAACAGCCATTCCTGCCTCTGTTGCTGCTCCTCCCTTTTCCCCAATCTAGGAATCCCACATCCCTCTGAGATTGCCTTTCAAACACTTCCTAACCCTTTTAGATGGCTCTTCATTACTGGGGAGGCTCAAAGCAAAAGCCTTGCCCGGCTGCCTTGCCAGCATCATCTCTCTCTTGCTTGTCTGTACGTGTTGAGAAACAAGGGAGGGGTGGGCGAGCAGGGACGAATTCAACCAGGGGAAAAAGGGTGGATGGGGATCAGCCCTTCCCTGATTCCTCTGTCCCCTTCTTTCCCCTTCCATCCTTTTCCCGAAGGTGATATTTCCACCTCCAAAGTTCCCCCCTCCCGCTTGAGATCGGACCCCCTCTTTCTCTCCCCCCCCCCCCCCCCGCTACTCACCTGGAGACCAGGGTTGTCTAAGACCTCCATCTGGATGTCTTGGCTGGAGCTGTAAGGTGTGCGTGACATGCCGCCCTCCTGCACCATGGAGATGCCCCTTGCCCGCCGCCGCCTGCGCTCACGACGCCGGGCTCATGGTGCCAAAGCCGGGGAGGGAGGAAGGGGCGCCCCCGGGGGCTGGCACAAGCCCCTTCCTCACGCCCGTCGCCTCGGCATGGCTTCTGCTGCCCTCTCCAAGGCGGGGATGGAGGAAGAAGAGAGGGCTCAAAGCAATTCCTGGCAGGAGCAGCAGGAGTGAAGGCTGGAGAGGCTCCTGCGGTGGTGGTGGCTGCTGCTGCTGCTGCCAAAGGGAGAGGGAAGGCAGGGTGGGCGTGGGGTGGGCTGAGCCCAAGGGGGATGCGCAGATGGGAGGGAGGGGCTGCCCAGGAGGAGGAGGGGAGATGGAGGGCTGGCTCCAGCCTTACTTGGGTTGCCCCAAGTCAGCCCTCCATCCTCCCTCCTCCTGGGCAGCCTCCAAGGCCATCATCCTATCAGCATCCACCTGCTGCTGCCCCTATCTGCCCTTCTTCTGAAACAATGGCTTCAAACTCCAAGAAAGGAGATTCAATCTGAACATTAGGAAGAACCTTTGAAGACTGCTTGGAAAAATTGTTATAAGTTAATATGGAAATGGTACCTAACACCAGTAAGAATCCATATAAATAAAAATGTAATGTTCGTTTGTGGGATTAACAGAACTCAAAAACCACTGGACGAATTGACAACAAATTTGGACACAAGACACCTAACAACCAAATGTATGTCCTTCACTCAAAAAATTGATTTTGTCATTTGGGAGTTGTAGTTGCTGGGATTTATAGTTCACCTACAATCAAAGAGCATTCTGAACCTCACCAACGATGGAATTGAACCAAACTTGGCACACAGTTCTCCCATGACCAATAGAAAATACTGGAAGGGTTTGGTGGGCAGTGTCCTTTGGTTTTGGAGTTGTAGTTCACCTACATCCAGAGATAACTGCAGACTCAAGCAATGATGGATCTGGACAGGCATGTAGCCTGGGGGGGGGGGGCTTGAGGGGCTTCAGCCCCCCCCCCCCCGAAATTCTCATGGTGGTTCGCGAAAAGGCCTTATTGGTGCATTATTTAAACTGTTATGTTTATTCATATCATGATCTGATCACCATACTCAATATATCCCATATGCATTGGGGTATTGGGGTAATGATACAAAAAGTTTGCTAGGCTGGACCCTCTTTCACTCGGACTCAGCCCCCCCGAAACTCAGCCCCCCCTGAAACCCCCACCGAAAAAAATCAGCCCCCCCCCCGAAACCAAATCTTGGCTACGGGCTTGCGGAGGGGCTTACAAGAATGGCTAAAATCTAACAAAATTTTAGACAGGCCCCTTCGCTGGCAGTCTTCAGAAAGAACTTGAAGACCTGGCTGTTCCGATGTGCCTTTTCAGATTAGGAACCCCCAATACCAAGTCCTAGAAGCACTTTAAAGAACTAAGATCACTACACACCGCACTTACTTTATAATCCTACATACCTCCTGCCACATCAGCACTTTTAATCTTGTACCCATTACTCTGGCCTGGCCCAGTTTTATATTGTCTTGATGTTTCGATGTATTGTTATTGCTGTTGTTTATTTCTGCTTAACTGTTTTAATTTGCTCTAGGTATTGTATTGTGTTTTGAGGCCTTGGCCTATGTAAGCCGCATCGAGTCCTGCGGGAGATGCTAGTGGGGTACAAATAAAGATAATAATAATAATAATAATAATAATAATAATAATAATAATAATTTTAAAAGCAATTTAAAACAATTTAAAAACAGCAATATCAAACATTAAAAGCCTGTCGAAACAGGTATGTCTTACATGTCCTGCGGAAAGCTGGTAAGTCCTGCAAGGCATGGACTTCAGGTGGCAGAGTATTCCAGAGTAACGGTGCCACTGCTGTGAAGGCTCTGCGTCTGGTTGCTGTTAGACGCAAGGTCTTGACACTGGGGACTTCCAATAGATCTTGGTCCTCAGAATGGAGGGATCTCTGGGGTTGGTAGGGGGTGAGGCGGTCCCTCAGATACATCGGCCCCAGACCATGCAAGGCCTTAAAGGTGAGTACCATCACTTTGAAAGTGATCCGGTGCTCAATTGGTAACCAATGCAGCTGTAGTAAGATTGGTGTTATGTGGCATCTCATCGGAATTCCCGCAAGAAGCCGAGCAGCTGCATTTTGTACCAACTTGAGCTTCCGGATCACCGACAGAGGAAGGCCAATGTAGAGGGCGTTACAGTAGTCCAGTCTTGAGATGACCGTGGCCTGGATCACCGTAGCTAGGTCGTCCCTGGACAGGTAGGGGGCCAGCCGTCTAGCCTGCCGCAGATGAAAAAAGGCGGTTCTGCTAACGGCGGAGACCTGGGCCTCCATCGTCAGTAGAGGGTCCAAAAGGACTCCCAGACTCTTTACCAATGATGACGGGCGTAGTGCCTCGCCATCCAGGGTAGGCAGCTGGATATCCCCACTGCCCGGTTGACCCAGCCATAGGATCTCCGTCTTTGCTGGATTCACCCTCAACCTGCTGGCACGCAGCCATCCAGTAACGGCCTCGAGGCACTGATGGAAACAATCGGGTACAGAGTCCGGTCGGCCTTCCATCTTCAGCACCAGCTGAGTGTCATCGGCGTACTGATAACACTCAAGCCCAAAACCTCGAACCAGCTGAGCAAGTGGTCGCATATAGATGTTAAACAACAGAGGGGAGAGAATGGCCCCCTGAGGAACCCCACAAGATAGAGGGGACCTCTCAGAGACCAGGCCTCCCCTCTCCACTCGCTGTCCACGGTTGTGAAGAAAGGAGGACAGCCAGTTTAAAACTGTCCCCCTGGCTCCAGCAACAGCAAGGCGGTGGGTCAAAAGATTGTGGTCGACTGTGTCAAATGCTGCTGTGAGATCCAATAACACAAGCAGCGCTGACCTGCCCTGGTCAAGCTGGCATCGAAGGTGATCCGTGATGGAAACCAGCACAGTCTCTGTCCCGTGCCCCGCACGGAAGCCAGACTGGAAGGGATCTAGTCCGGCTGTGTTGGCTAGGAATTGATGTTTTAATTATAAGTTAATTATAAGTTAATATGGAAATGGTACTTAACACCAGTAAGAATCCATATAAATAAAAATGTAATGTTCGTTTGTGGGATTAACAGAACTCAAAAACCACTGAACGAATTGACACCAAATTTGGACACAAGACACCTAACAACCCAATGTATGTCTTTCACTCAAAAATTTGATTTTTTTCATTTGGAAGTTGTAGTTGCTGAGATTTATAGTTCACCTACAATCAAAGAGCATTCTGAACCCCACCAACGATGGAATTGAACCAAACTTGGCACACAGTTCTCCCATGACCAACAGAAAATACTGGAAGGGTTTGGTGGGCAGTGTCCTTGGTTTTGGAGTTGTAGTTCACCTACATCCAGAGATAACTGAGGACTCAAGCAATGATGGATCTGGACCAAACTCTACACGAATACTCAATGTGCCCAAATGTGAACACTGGTAGAGTTTGGGGGAAATAGAATCTTGACATTTGGGAGTTGTAGTTGCTGGGATTTATAGTTCACCTACAATCAAAGATCATTATGAACCCCACCAATGATAGAATTGGGCCAAACCTCCCACACAGACCCCCATGTGGGCCACAGCAACGCGTGGCAGGGGACGGCTAGTAGCAAATATAAATAAAAACTATTCAAAAATTGCTGGAGAGGATGTCAAGAATCGGGAACATATATACATATGTGGTGGCAATGTAAATATGTAAATAAATTTTGGGGGAAAGTATTTAGAGCAACGTTTCTCAACCTAGGGGTCGGGACCCCCTGGGGAGATCATAAAGGGGGTGTCAAAAGGGTCACCAAAGACCATCAGAAAACACAGTATTTTCTAGGTTTCTGTAAGTTTTGGCCATGTTTTAGAGGCATTCTCTCCTGACGTTTTGCCTGCATCTATAGCAAGCATCCTCAGAGGTAGTGAGGTTTGTTGTAACTAGGAAAATGGGTTTATATATCGGTGGAATGATCAGGGTGGGACAAAGAACTGATTAGAAGGCTCCTCACCTCCTTCTCACTTAGAATCATAGAATCATAGAGTTGGAAGAGACCTCATGGGCCATCCAGTCCAACTCCCTGCCAAGAAGCAGGAATATTGCATTCAAATCACCCCTGACAGATGGCCATCCAGCCTCTGTTTAAAAGCTTCTGAAGAAGGAGCCTCCACCACACTCTGGGGCAGAGAGTTCCACTGCTGAACGGCTCTCACAGTCAGGAAGTTCTTCCTAATGTTCAGATGGAATCTCCTTTCTTGTAGTTTGAAGCCATTGTTCCGCGTCCTAGTCTCCAGTGTAGCAGAAAAGAAGCTTGCTCCCTCCTCCCTGTGGCTTCCTCTCACATATTTATACATGGCTATCATATCTCCTCTCAGCCTTCTCTTCTTCAGGTTAAACATGCCCAGCTCCTTAAGCCGCTCCTCATAGGGCTTGTTCTCCAGACCCTTGATCATTTTAGTCGCCCTCCTCTGGACACATTCCAGCATGTCAATATCTCTCTTGAATTGTGGTGCCCAGAATTGGACAAAATATTCCAGGTGTGGTCTAACCAAAGCGGAATAGAGGTGTAGCATTACTTCCCTAGATCTAGACACTATGCTCCTATTGATGCAGACCAAAATCCCATTGGCTTTTTTTGCCGCCACATCACATTGTTGGCTCATGTTTAACTTGTCCATGAGGACTCCAAGATCTTGTTCACACATACTGCTCTTGAGCCCGGTGTTCCCCATTCTGTATCTTTGCATTTCGTTTTTCCTGCTAAAGTGGAGTATCTTGCATTTGTCCCTTGTGAACTTCATTTTGTTAGTTTTGGCCATCTCTCTAATCTGTCAAGATTGTTTTGAATCCTGCTCCTGTCCTCTGGAGTATTGGCTATCCCTCCCAATTTGGTGTCATCTGCAAACTTGATGATCATGCCTTCTAACCCTTCATCCAAGTCATTAATAAAGATGTTGAACAGGACCGGGCCCAGGACGGAACCCTTCTTCTGAAACAATGGCTTCAAACTCCAAGAAAGGAGATTAAATCTGAACATTAGGAAGAACCTTTGAAGACTGCTTGGAAAAATTATTATAAGTTAATATGGAAATGGTACCTAACACCAGTAAGCAAATACAAATAGCAAATACAAATAAAAACTATTCAAAAATTGCTGGAGAGTATGTCAAGAATCAGGAACATATATACATATGTGGCAGCAATGTAAATATGTAAACAAATTTTGGGGGAACGTATTTAGAGAAATAGAAGCTATAATGAACATTAAAATAGAAAGAAGTTCTAGTATAGCTTTACTATCATTATATAATAATAAACCAGTGTTTCTCAACCTGGGGGTCGGGACCCCGGGGGGGGGGTCACAAGGGGTGTTAGAGGGGTCTCCA